AGTCACACTTTGGTCCGGTTTACGGGCCGGTGGCATCATTGAACCGTAATTCGTCAAAGATGATGCGAATCTTATCGTAGCTGTGAATGGTGAGCGCTAACCTGCGATGATATCAAAAAGCAAGAGCTCGACCTGCATGACATGTGGTTTCAACAAGATGGTGCCACATGCACACAGTATGTGTGACAATCAACTTATTGAGAGGCGAGTTCGGTGAACATTTCATTTTACGTTTGTGACCGGTCAATTGGCTGCCTAGATCATGCGATTTAACGCCTTTAGACTTTTTTTTGTAAGGCTATGTTAAATCTAATGACTTATGTCCGTACAGACATGCCCGCTTCAATGGACGCATTGGAGGACAACATTGACACTCCTGCGGGGTGGGTGTTTAAAAATTTACCCTCTGTAAGGCATGCCTGTCGTAAGAGGCGACTCCAATGGTTCCCGCGTCCGTCGCGTCTATATACCGGAACGACCCGGACTTTTATCCGGCCAAGGACTGCCACTCACAATATTGCCAAAAAAGTACTTTGGGGAATAGTTTTGTGATTACAACAGCAACAACACTGCACAACATTTAAGCATTTATTCGTGAAATACCGACCGAAATGTTGGAACGAGTGCGCCGAAGTTGGACTAAGCGGATGGACCATTTGAAGCACAGTCATAGTCAACATTTGCATGAAATTATTATCAAACATAAAATTATAGGGACCGTACTATCCATTCAAATAAAGATTTCAGGCATTTTTCTGAATTTTATGTATTTCTTTTGAAAACTTTCCCATAGCTCTTAAAAAATCACCCTTTATAAAGATGTTACGTCTCGGGTTTGTTGCTGTCCTCCATTGTGTCTTGGCGCAATGTGATAATTGTTCGCTTGCGGCTCTTTCTTAAGACCTATGGATTGAAATTTCATGTTGTGGTCATTGTTGTGGAAAAATCCCTTCCGTGTAACACTCAGGAGAGTTTTATTCAAATACAGTATGTGCGTTAGGGTGGCTAGATTTTAAACAATTTTTGCGCGGCTATATTACTAGATGAATCAAATAAATGAGAATAATGAGTTTTTCTATTTCTTCTTCTCTTTCGTACAACTCTTCGCCGCTCCTACGCAAAGCGATATTATCGGCGTACGCCAGCAGCTGCACACTCTTATAGACGACAGCAAACACTCCAGCTCTGCAGCTTTTATTATTATCTATAGAAGCAAATTGAATAAGCCTCACTGATACGGTCTAATCAGTTTGTTGATGATCCGCTTTAGCCTTTCACACAATAAGGTCGCTAGGACTTTAAAGGCGAAATTAAGAAGGCGTACCGAACGGTAATTGGCGGAGACTGTGGGATCGCGCTTTTCGTGTAATGGCCTGAGCACGCTTACTTGGTACCAATAAATAATTCAATTTTAGTTTTATTTTTTTTTAATTTAATAAATATAAATAAAATAAAAAGCAGCTGATCGTCAGAAGTGATTTACAGCTTCAGAGGTTGCCACCACTCTCCAACAGACTTCTAATATCTCGCACACAATCTAGATTTCAACAAGGCAAATTTCCACACAGTACAGGAATACAAAACCAAAAGACCTATGTATTTTGTTTGTGTAATCGTAATTTCGAAATGTTAAAAACGATATTCGTTCAATGTATTTTGTTAGTGTAATAAAAAGTTCGTAATGTCAAAACCTGTTTCTCATGTATTTTGTTTGTGTAATTTGTTGAAATGGAAGGAAAAATAAGTAATCATAAGATGTGACAACTTCATCTTCTCAATTAGAATTTTTCTCAGAGTTTCCAGCCCACTTTAATAAAAGGAAAGATTTTTTCGGTGCATAAATTCTACTATCCTAATGTCATGTTCTCTTAGTATTTGATATTCGTTTAATAAGGATTGCATGCAGTGTACATTATTCAAATATTTCTATATTCAATTTCCGCTTAACTTGATTTGACTATCACTCAGTGCGTTCGTACATGCATATATATGGATGTACATTTATAGTCGTGACAATATGCGCATTTTACTCTTCCACAATTCCTGCTGGTACAGCTTCCTATTCTCTCCCTCTTCACACGCCAATTTCTACTTTCCGTTATTGATGCTGTCGATGCAATCAAGAGTGCAATTGTGTGAATTCAAGGAATGCTTTGTTGGATGCGCGTGTGTTTGCTATGTGAAAAATATTGGCGTTTAAATTGAATTCTTCGCACAAAAATTCGAAAATTTTCAATATATTTTACATAAAATTTAAATTTAAATATTTTAGTTATTTACTCGTATGTTGATGCTTTTTCAGGCCGATGTTATTCGTTTGTATATCCTTTGTATTTTGCCTTCTTCAATTTTAGTTTTATAATTGTAAAGTAGAGTGAACGATAGAAGAGCTTTCACTGATTTCAAGAATGACTCTAAGAGCTTCGGTCGATTGCCGTTGTGGTGCAGAAGATATGCCGTTTTGCTTTTCAGTACTAAAATACGATTTAACTGAGTCTGCCGGAATACTAACGTTAGAAACACAGCGGACTTAGTTCAAGCAGTTTTCAATCACTGGTTTGGAATATATTAATTTTTTGAGTACCTAGCAAACAGTCTTTTAGTGGGGCTGGCAGCAGAAAGAACAAACCACGACTAGCGGTAATACTCCAAAATTCTATGAAAAGGTGCGGTGAGCACAGAAGATCATGCTATTGTAAGAATCAGGGTAATAAACTAGAATCCGGTATTCAGATCTAGCTTGTTATATGATGGATTCGTCCTGTTGAATGAGAGTGAATGTGCAGCACACACGATTGGCGAACCCAAATCCCAAATCGAGGATGGAAATGGCATTCCATTCGAATAGAAATCGTGCGATCCTCGCAGTCTATACCAATTATTGTGTGATTAGCCCCCTAAAAATCGCATATGACGTCCTATAGAGCTTATTGTGTGAAAGGTTAAAGCTCATACTGATTGCACCTTGGGAAATACCCTTTCATCGATTTTAAGGCTACCTTCTACAGTATAGTAATGAGCTGCCTGTTCGCCGCTATACGGCCATAAAACTGTTGTTCAGCTGAGCTAGAAGCTCAGTCAGAATTGAGCAGTATCTGACCAAGCTGCTCGGCGGAACGATATACTCAGTGGGGTTACAACTCATGTCACTCTCATTCGATGATCTTTACAGGACATGGTTGGGACTATTTTGCGTTCTTGACTGTTCTTTAATCCACTGTATGACTGGTCTTTACAATATTGCAATGAGAACTATTAAGTGCTTTGTAGACAGCCAAGCTACAATTAAGGCAATGTAGAAGGCAGTGAAAAGACAGATAAGCTGGTTCGGTCTGGCGTGGTTATGATCAAAACATTTGATCCCTAAAGAGCAATTAAGATCCTGTAGCACTTACAACGTGAGTCCTACCACTAAATTACGGTAGGGCGGGGTATTTTGCAATTCGATCAAACTTTTATTTTCTCTGAGTTTCTCGTCTGTTTAGTATTTTTCTGCATGTGTATATTGAGAAATCATCTCCATAAGTCATGCAATGTGATATCGATAAGGAAAAGATGATTGGAGCTTTCAGCCGATTGAGATCAGTCGATGGAGACCAGCATTCTCAAAAGAACTAACCAAATTGAAGGACCAACCCGCGATTGAAAAGTTGGCATATGATATGAGCGAACATATCTGGCAACGTAAGCGACCTTGGCTTGCGCAGACGAAACTTGAATGGAGCCACTGCAATTTAAGTGTTTACTGAAGTCTAATTCCAGCATCTGTTCGCAAGAGGACAGACTGGGAGCGGGTGTTGGTATAAGAGAGATTACACATTTTATGATCCAGACCAGTTATGAGTGAGAAATTGAAGGGCAAACTCCTGCGATATCCAACTCTTCATTGGAAGCGTGGCGCTCCTATGCTGATGTATATCATCGTAAAACTAAGGGCGAACATCACAGCCGTCCGCCTCCGTGCGATGGACGAGGCAAATATGGAAACTATTTAGTAGGCCCTTGTGATATGTACTGTTGCGGCCATATAAGAGAGTCCAAATATGGTGTTGGATTCTTATTGAAGAGAAACTCAGTCATCGTGGGATTTAGTTCATCAAACTCAAGTTCTTCAACATAACGCTGATTTGGGCCTACTCCCCGGCGGAAGAGAAATGCAGTGTGACGGAGGATGCGCTTTATAAGAGGGTATGAGCGCCGCTTACGAAGTAAAAATTACGGTACTCGACTTAAGTGTCATAGCAGACATAAAAATATCTTCGTCACAAATGTCGGAAAATTCAGCTTCAATGACGAAACAGCCCAAAATGTGTTGAAGCTGATTGACTTTGCCAGGCCCAGAAATATGATTTTCTGTAGTACTGCTTGCAGTACAAGAAACGTAATGCAGCTACATGGCTATATCTGGTTGACACACTACACGTCTCCAGTATTGTTGACTTCAGCATACTCTGAGACTCCTAACACTTAGCGGCAAGAAGCGTCTGTCAATAAACACAGGGAATGTGAGACGTCGAAAAACTGCCATGAGAATGCATATCCGAGCGCTTTTTCCCCACGAATTTTCCTCTAGCCTTCTAAGAAAAGTCATCTACACCTCAATATTAGAATGCTGGATTTGTAGCAGCGATTTATGAGATAGGCAAAAAAAAAATTCTTGAAATCTATATGAAATACCAGATCGGCTTAGTTGTTATGGAAAATGAAAATGATGACCGCAGACAGGAAGTTTAAGTGCAAAATTTTATTCCGTTTAGTATATAAATTATAGCGCTTATGAATATTGCTGGACTGGATCAACTCGATCCGAAGAATCAGATTAAAAAGTTTCCAACCCAGTTCTTAAGTATGGAAGCAGAGAAATAGGAAGACCTCCTATATCATTAGGTTTTTGCGGCAGTAAAGAGCGACAAAATTTTCGTTTCACTTTATCCCAACTTTATACTTTATTCTGTAGATGAAATGTTCGGAAAAATCTGCCATGAAATCCTAGGGTGTAATGTCAGAAACTTTTCATTACTTTCAAAACAAACCATTCAAAAATATTTATTAAATACTCCATTTTCGATCTGTGAATGTTTTTTTAAAAACAATTATGACTCTCGAGCAAAACTCTGTGGAAGTCAAGAAAAAGCAAGAATTAACGCTAATACAAAAGGTATAAAATTCGAAAATGTAGAAACTCGCCTGTGATAATCAATGCCATCTTTTTGTATGTATAGTGTTTGTTTTTCTCAATCGGTGTGTTGTTCGCTCTATCCATCTTTGTTTTGATTCGTCTAACAAATGGTTTGATATTTGGACGTAACGCAAAATTTCTATCACAAAGCCCAAAGCTAATGGATGAAGTCTTTTATGAACCGTAATTTCGTTAAATGTACTCCATCCATTTTTTACAACAAATAATGCAAGATTTGGAAAGAAACATTATAGTCAGAAGCAGACGCGATGTTATTTATCAATTCTTTGTTGAAACCAGTGAATGTGTGGGTTTTTTTTTTTTTGGAAAAGTACTGAAGTTTCGTCTACAGTTTTGGAATTAATATTTTCTTGTTTTTCAGATCTTCGGATTCGCATTAACGGGTTTGATCGGCGTTAGTCTTATTATTATTGCCGTATGGTTAATACATTTTATGGAAACATTCTCTGTTCATTAGTCGGAAAATGGAAGTGCTGTGAGATGACGATGGAGAGCTCTTTTAAATATTGAAGTTATTTTTAATTAACATCGTATTTAATTTGATAATTTGAAATATGAGATGAATACATATTTATTTATTGTTTTATTTTTTAACTTCGTTTTTGGGAAAATTTAACTGCGCTTTATTATTTTTTTTTTAATCAGGAGTTTTTATTTCAATTCCTCGAAGTGTCAATTACAGGATTATAAATGAAAACTCGTGATTAAATCAATCTATGTCTGTCCTAGTTTATAATCCTGTAAGTGGCACTTAAAGTGGACAAAAATACTCCCAAAAGTACGGAGCAGTACAAAATAATAGTGTAAGCAAAAAGTAAGATGAATTTTTAATTTGAGCTTCGCACATTATATATTTCGGGTTATTTCTTTTTTTAATGTTGGTAGCAGTGTTGTTGACATCTACGCCAAATTTCATGTCAATTTCATTATTGGTATTTCAGTCACGCTTGTTCTTACTAAACGACTAAATGTGCATTCGTGGTTTTCGCCGCACGATAATGCACACAGAACTCATTCTTAATGACCATTTTTAAAAAAAATTCCACGATTAACGTTCACCAACCACCGTAATTGACGGATTTAGCCCCATGTGAGTTCTGGCTCTTCCAAGAACTCAAGAGACCACTTCGGGGACACCGTTTTGTGTCCATTGAAGAGATTATACGTGAATCGGCGCGCTCTCTGCAGATCGTGACTGTCTGACATGCTTTGATAATTGGAGAAAACGTTGGCATAAGTGCGTTGCGTCGGCTGGGTATTATTTCAAAGGTGACGAAATCGATGTAGAGGAAGAGTTCTTTCTTCTATATCTATATCACATTTGGCGTACAATTCAACTAAATTCTTGCTCTCCATGAACATTCATCAATAATCCCGTGTAGAGCCCTCGAACAATATTTCAATCTACCTATGTCCAAGTATAATATATATCGAAGATAAGAAAACATTTGGCTTTCAAAATATTGAAAGAAATGTTGGTACAATAATCCACATCGTAGCGGCGAAACAAAAAGTTTGACTATCTTGCAACGGTTAGAATCGGCAGCAGAGCGAGCTGTGTTCGAGATATACCGAGAGATGAAGAGAGTAGCGAGACGCACACGCTGATAACAAAGATGAGTACAGAAAGCTTAAAAAACTCGTTGAAAGCTTGAAAATACAATTAGACGATCTACTCCCAATATTTGAAGTCCGGAGGCCACTTATGATGCAGGAATCAAGGCAGTAAACAGTAAATCGAATGCCAGACCATATTGAGCTTATAAATTTAACACTTCCTTAGACTTTTGCATGGTAGTGAAAGTACAATACCCCGAGGTTGCGGATCTGAACTGCCATTCACGGTTCCATCACGATACCATGATAAAGTTTGAATAGCTAATGACTCACCAGCTGAGCCATACAGCAGCAGCTGCTTAGAATATGGGTAGAATTAATCACGTCTGACAAATGGAATCCATAAGAAGGATAACTACATAGTATATATTATATATTGCGGGATCGTAAAAGATTACACGAAAGGATTAACAAAAGTTCAGTCAGTTGTTGACTTTGAATTTGTTTTTGTTAAATCTAAAAACACCCATTCCTTTGGCATTACTTTATCAGTCTTTGTTTTAATTTAAGACGATAGCTGACGAAAATTCACCACCAAAAAGATTACGAATAAATAAATACCAAAATGTTTTCTGGTCAATTTACCGCATTTTGTTAATTAAAGTATTTTGAAAAGTTAAACTTATTAAAAAATATTTATAACTTATTTCCTCTGGTGATTCAGGCAACACAGTAAGGAGAATCAAATTAACGCTCAACGTCAAATTTTTTTTTTTTTTTTGGTTATCGAAGAAATATAAAACATAAAAAATATAAAACGTCTGCGACTTAGATATTTATTTGTTCGCATTAAATTTAAAAATTATGCAACTTGAGCAAAGTCCACTTGTAGCATCAGCGAATGAAAAACAAGGTTTCACTACTCTCCAAAAGGTAGTAAAAGTTAGAATATTTTCGTACAAATTTCATAACTTTTCAATTCTCATTTTAATAAAAATTTTCAGTGCACTTTCTGCGTTTTCGGTCTGCTTATGGTTTTCACTGTAATCGCCTTATTCCATTTATCAAAACAATTGGAAGCCGAAAAGAATACACCGAAGGTAGCAAAGCAAGCAAAATTTGGCCACTGAATTTAGTATGATTTCAGTGAATAATTCAAAATGATGTCATATTATTTCTTTACCGTGTATTTGTTGCAAGGCGTGAGTATTGCATTGAATTCTCATTTCCTTACATTTTCTAACCCAAATTACCACTTTTAGCTTCTCGGATTTGCTGTAATCGGTGTGGGCGTGTTTTCCCTCTTGACTTGCAGTTTAGCCACTGTATTCACGATGGGAACCCTTCTTGAGTGGATTGACATACTTTATCGAAGCGTTTTCCAATTTTTTAATTTAGATGAATTTCTATTAAGAAAAGCCGAGAACACATAGGGGTGTAAATAAAAGCATACACGAGTATATATGTATGAACATATATGAATTAAATATTTTAATTTTACTTTGGGATCAAGGCCTGCTCCTCTCCCTGTAAAACTCAAAGATCAATTTGTACTTTTGCTTCTTGGTGCACACCCTTGAACGTGAGCAATTTTTATGCGATCGAGCCCCTGTAGAGACAACAAAAATGTGGGATGAATAATTTCGCAATGAGCAATTTTTACCTAATTAACCATTAGACTTAAATGTTCCTTGTATGAAGTCAGATTCAAAAGTAAGACTGCAAGCGAAGAGATTTAGTAGCAATCCTCACGTCCCGTGTTGAAAGGATTGAAGTTCTTCGTTTCAAGAATTATCATAAAAAAAAACAAAAAAAAAAAAAATTCTCGAATGAGACTATCCAGTATTGAAAAAAAGACTTGACAAACATTGTGATGTTCTTGTTTTAAGCACACTACAAGGTTGTTTCACCTGGATTACAGCCCAAAACAGATCAGCGCCTAAAAAGTTGCTTCTTAATGCGAAAGGCAATACGAAGGGTAATTACTAACTCTGTATGTATTATTGGGTAAAGAAAGAAGCTTCTCATGTCAACAAGTAAGCTGCTCAATGGGAAAACATCAAGAGGAGAAGCTAGGAAGAAAACGGATTAAGAAGTAATTGGCGAAGCGGTTTTGGTCGGGCGAAGGATCGTACCCTTACCCGCTTACTCGATTATTGCAACTGCCAATAAATCACTTTCTATTAATGACATTGACATGAAATATTAAACGAGCGAAGCCCAACTTTGCCCACATTAGTATTTACCCAAACTTTGTGATAACTTCAGTAGGAAGTTGTCACTATCCGTTTCAAGGATGATATTTTTGACATCATATTCTTTGAAAAGATTCAATGAGCGTTTATTAGTTGCCTGGAAGTAGCGAAAATTTGTCGAAAAGTGTCAAAGGAATTGTCCTTGATAAGTAGGACCACTTAATTATTTGTATATATTGCTCCGAACTAAATGGAAGCCATTGAAGGTAACAATACGATTTGGCAAGTCAGTTGTAAAATACAGCCTCTTGGAACCTTGTTCAATCGAGCTCAGGTCTGCTGGCCAAAGGAAAGGTCTTCGAGAATGATCGCTCTCACTTTTTAAGGTACTCGAACCTTTTATTTTTATAAAGCCTTCAGGACTGCTGACTTTTGCACATATCAACTGGTCTTGAGTGAGTTCCGCATCTAATGAATTAAACGTTTTAGTCAAAAATGTTCCAAATCATTCATATGATTGCCATTGCAAAATATTCGGGACTTATCCTGTACAGGAAATTAAGCTGGTCACAAAACTCAGAGAAAAGAGTGAGTAGGCGTCCGTTGCGTTCTATACCTGCAGAGGTGGACCGGAATAGTGCGTTGGCCTACACTTCTCTATTGGGTTGTAGTTTGGTGACCAGTATTTGAGAAAAAATAAATTATTTCGAAATTTGAGTACAACACTTCGTACCTTACAGACAAGGCAAGGCTAGAAAAGTTGTCCGAAAGGCAAGTAATGAGCCATAGGCAAACTAGAATCTTAATAAGATTCCGTATTTAAGAAAAAACGGATTACTACACATCATTCACTGGCTTTACGGCAGATTTCAAGGTGCTTTTTTTCGATTCACTTTTATATGGACGGGAGGCACTTTCCTTTTGCCATCATGGGAAAGTTTGGAAATGCCACGCTTAATATAAGAGATTCATTCATTAAAAATGCTACCTTAAGATGGAAAGGAATAAAACGGAAGAAGGTTACGTGAGATAAAAAGGCTGGATATATCTACAGCTATAGGTCTTTTTGTAGGGCATATTCTATTGGGCAGACGCAGACGCGCGGAGAGAGACGCAGACGCGCGGAGAGATTAGGCGTACCATTTAATGATTTCTGCAAAAGTTATGGAGAAGGAGGAGAACCTAAACCTTAAGGCACTTTCTTTCCAAATGCTTCAAAATTCGAAGTAGTAGGCTGAAGTCTCTGGGCACCGCAACCTTTAGAGTCCTGAGAGAAATAGCAGGGGCCAAGATGCGGCTACTACTTAGCTTTGCAAACTCTACACGCTGCTTTGATTAGCGGGATCATCAGTGCTATCACAACACCACAACCGTTGCATCTTAGTTTCCGATGCAGCGTGTTAATAGAGAGACACCATAGTAGGATATTGCCATACCTGCTTAAAGATGGGCCTCCTATTTCGGCGAGACAACTTTATATACTAAAATAGATTTCAACAGCTTCACTAAGTGCATTTCAAGATCTACTTTTGGTAGTTCAGTTTTGGCAACCACGAATTAGACCCTCTTAATATCGTACGAAACAGCAAAGAGAAGAATTTTGTGACGTTTTGCTACTAGTACGACGAATTCTACATTTTCTCATGCTCTTGCTAGCATCCTCAAAATAAAGGTATTCCACTTTACTCCTTCAAGCAACCTGTTTACTCATCGAAGCATCTTTTTGATTCCACACCAAGCGCACAGTGTAATTTAGAAGCTCTTTGCTTCATTTTGTTTGCTTTTTGAAAGAAAAGGCATTTCTAAAACAAAAAGATTTTCCCAAGTATTATTAAATTATTTATATATTTAAATTTGCAATTTTCAGGTGCCAGCTCCCATTAAGCCAATTCAATCACACCGCTTCCATTGGCAAAAAAGGAAGAAAAATAACAAGAATTGAAGCGGTGATGGGAATCTTTGGTGAAAATCTCATTTTGTTTATAAATTGCCAATATCCTCGAGTCAACACCGGCTTCGGCCATTAATACGGCTGCATGTTTGCATGCAAGTATGTACTTATGTAAGTATGTACACCTATATATGTGTCATAGTAAATCACCTGCCCGGCATTTGCCTGCCTGTGGAGCTTGATTGGATTTAGCGTCATTCGTTGGAAAGGCGGTAAGTGTTTACCATGATTGGGAGCCAAATTGATGGCTCCCCATTGGGTAGGAAATCCGTATGTGACACCAGGTAGATATCCTTGCATCTTGTAGATACCTTGTTTATGCATATGTGTAAGTCAAGGAGCAAAAGTCTTCATATGATTATACTTATGTGGTCTTGGTAACCTGATATTTACATGTGTATGTCCCTTGAGGGGAAAAGTAGACAGTGCGCGAAAATTCTAGTTAACAACTAGAATTTTGATAACAAAATCAAACTAGTTTGTTGTAAACTAGAATTATGCTGATATGTAAGGGATACAAATATACTAGTTTGCTATATATAATACTAAAACTTTACTAGTATTCTGCAGTAAAATCTTGACTAGTTTACAAAAATTTCCATAAATGAACTAGTATTTTGCCGAGTAATTGATACCAGTTTGTTGTTTTGCAAAAAAAGCAGGACTCAGACTTTCCACTACAAATACAACAACCACTTATTTATGTTGATTATATCTTTATCTATTGCAAAAAATATGAACAGTCCTAATTAAGCTTCAAGTAAAATAAAAATCATTAAAATCGGCTCAACCACTTAGAATATGTGAGGTGAACTTGTTATCAACAGGTACGGAGCAACTGGTATATATGAACTGGTACTAAACTAGAATGAAACTGATGCATAAACTGACAAATAATTTTACATAACCAGTTGCGTCCGTAGAAAATGGATGGACGTAAGATATTTGGTACAAATATGTAAGCTAGTTGGATTGTAGTTAAGAACTAGTATTCTCCCTGCAGGGTTTCTATCTACACTGCATACCCAGAGTTTATGTGTATATGTATATTTATGTAGGTAAAGTCTTACATTATAAATTCTTTATATTATGGAAGCCTAATATTCTTATCCACATCTCGTCGCCAATATCAGCCTGTCTCGCCACTGCGCAGTAGTCAGGAAAAGAAAAGGAAAATAAATATATTAAAATTGTAAATTGAATTCCTCACATATCCGTAGCCACATCTACCTCCAGTTAAATTTAACAGTATCTGACAACTTTTATCCTTTTTTGGTCCTCGAATTGTGCGGCGGAAAAAAGTTCAACAGCTACTGCACTTACCAACCGAAAAAGAGATTAGAGAGAGAGAGAGATTAATGAGTTTGTTGACTAAGATTGTTAAAATATCGAATGAACCGTTATTACGTCTAAGGAAAAGGGATTCTCATTTATATACAGACATATTAGTTTGCAGCTCACTTATTCAAATCATACATAAGCGTAAACGTCTTTTTCTACCCTACGCTGGCAGTCATTGAATGATAGTTTGCTTGGTGACGTATTAAGGATACTGAACTATAGTTGGATTGAAGAAATTGTAAATGAAGGCTTAACTGAGAATCTGGTATGTCTTCTTAAGTCATGCAACCAAGATATGGCCTCCAAGTATTTTGAGTGAGTATCTTCATATTCATTTACTCAGTAAATTTTCAATTATGTTAGTAGTCTTCCTTTGAGTTCCTACATAAATTATTCTGATTTTTATTATTTAGAGAAATGAAAGGATAATCTGCAGAAGCACCTCCAAGTATTGATAGCCAATTAACTGGGAGAAAATGACAGAAACTAATCTACGACTCTCGGTATGATATAAAGCAACTTGGATAGCCGATAAACCACTGCATGATGGGTTTTGAGACTCATCAGAAAAAAATTAGATCTCACGATATTTTGATGAAGTCCATAATATCAGATAATACACCTGAATTAAATCTCACGATATTTTGATAAAGTGATATCAGATAATGTACCTGGAACATTCAATCTTCCCAATTACATTTTTGCTCAGAGCAGAAGACACACTCTACAGCGGCAATACAAATCCGTTTGTGGGATTTTTGATGAGTGAGAAATTTTCCCGTCAATTACTGACCTTCCTTACACCGGTAGAGCTATATGCCTTGCAAAAACAGAAGCAGAGCTCAAAAATCCTTCAAGTGGACTTATATGTATCTGCCGGTAGATGGCCTATAAATTGTTATCTACAGCATCAGTTTCTCATCCGAGAACCAATTTTTTTGGTTTATCGTTCAATCTTTTTTTTATGTAAATAAAATAAGCGGAACGAATCTATCTGCTCGGTGGTATATACTTGATGCATATTTACAAAGCGAGCTCTAGTTATTAGAAGACCGACGCCCACTCGCATACACGCCTTAGGGGAACAGATGCATAAATGAGAATTTAGTGAATACTGAGCTTGTCGAAATGTCTCTATGAAAGCTCTTGTTCTATAGCCTACACTGGCTGATTAGTGCATCTCGCGTTAATATTACTAACTTTTAGCGTGGAGTGGCGATGAAGCAAAAGTAAAAATATTATTTGCAAATTAAACATAACTGGATACCAAGAAGAAG